AATTTGGATCATTACGTGAAAATATTAAAGAAATATTTAAGTCGGAGTGGAAAATTAAATTAAAAATATTAAGCGATGTTATTAATGATCTATCACGTATTCATTCTATTTACAGTTTTGGGATTATTATGATAGAAATATCAACTGGGCAAAGGCCTTTTAATAATCAAAATTTTGATGCAGAATTAGCTGTAAAGATTTGTTATGGATTGCGACCTGAATTTAATATAGGTGCTCCAGAATGTTATGTTGAATTAGCGTTGATTCAGATATAAATAAAAGACCCTCTGCTGTTGAGATTATTAATGAACTTGAAAAATGGAAAAGCATTATAGTCACCTACGATAGCAATATTAAATCAGATATGAATAAAAGAACTAATGCTTCTGGGGTTTTTAATAAACTTAAAAAATGGAAAAAAGCTATAGCCGTCAATAATAGTAATATTAAATTAGACAAACAATATATTGATTCGAATGAAGAGATCAAACAGCAATTTTTAAGAGCCGATAACTCAATCAAAGAATTACCGATTACCTCGCAAAATCATGAAAATTTTAAGTATACATCTAAACTTATTGACACGAGAGGAATATTTTCAAAGTGCAGAAATTATAAGAGTAATCAAGATTTTAAACCAAGTAAAGAGTTCCATATCAATAATATTGATAGCGATTTATTGTATTCTTATTAATGTATATCGAGAATGCTTGATTTTATTATTTATTTATAAGAAAGTTTGTTAGATTTGTTATAAAAACCTTTTATTAATTGGGTAAAATATCAAAATCAAAGTATTTAGTTATTTTAAACATTTTGATCTAAGCACTGCTGATTTTGTTCACTGAACATAGGCTTGTATTACGCAAAATTAAAATTTTATTTTACATGAAATTACATTGTAATCTACAGATCTACGGATTATTACGTGATGATTTCACCAACATTATCCATATTATGTTCGGAACTGTAATTTTTATGCCAGCTTTATAAATGATTTGGCCAGCATTATTCGCATGAAATTCATTTTACGTAGACTTTTTTTAAATTACATAAATTACGCAAAGTTACTTCAACCTGAACATTATAAAATAGCAAACTTAAAAAAATTGTTTATCAACAACATTATTATAAACCTATTTACTTATATTAAACCAATAAAATTTTAATAATTTAAGTTTTGCTAATATAAAATATTTATAATTCTATAATAGTTTATAACTATTTTTAACCAGTAGTGATGTCACCACCTTTAATTTTAGCACGTCTGAAATCTGTGACAGGTTACACCGATAACGTGATGTACTACCATGACCGTCAGTCAATTGACCAATATGAATTAAGCAGCACCGATAAAATTTTTATTACTAGAATGCATATTTTAGCATAAAATTAAATACATATATGACATAAAACCAAATACACACATTGATATAAAACTAATACATGTATGAATATAAAGCTAAAAAGCAATGTATTTAAAATTGTTTTTGCTTTTAATTTGGGTGGTTGTTTAATACGCTTTTACTTAGGTTATGATCTTTTTTATTCGCTTTTCTCTTTTTTCGGGCTGGCATAGTCTGAAAATCTTTATTTTCTTTTCCATGCAATTTTCTTTTGGTGTCATGCCTATTGGCTTTACGCCTTTTAACAGATTCTACCTGAACCCGTATTGGAACTCCACTTTTAACACGAGCCATAGGGTCTATATTACAATTAATATCATAAAGAAATGATGATAATCGAGAAATAGACTTTGATTTTGCCACATTATAATGCTTCGCAAACTTATTTAGTGTGGTATATAACTGAGGATCACTGTTTTGGTAGTTCTTTTTAACTTCCTCTAAAAAAGCCATAAATGAAGTATCATCATCCTTGTCCTTTTCAC